GGACGGTGTGGGGGAGAGAGACACCAATATAAGTGAGTCACAACCAGATAACCTTGTTTACCTGTAACTTGGATAAACGATTCCCAGTTCTGTAAGTGTGTTCAGCTTCTACTACAGACTACACCTGCTGTGCTTTTGTGTTCAATCACAGCTGTGTGTTCTTAGAAGAGCACTATGAAAAGCATCTGCTACAACACTGTAAAAACACCCACTTCAGTGATCTTAAATGGAAATAAGTTCCTGCTTCACTCCTGCAAAAGCACAACTGGACTATAGACGTGTGATAGAGTGCAGAAGGAAGTATCTTTATTCATGACTTGTTCTATTTCATTTAAATAAACCACATCACAGCCTCGTGTCACTCAGAGGGCAGAAGGCATTGTCTGACAATTATACTGTCGCTGTAAAGACTTTAATTACTTGGGAGGGTTCAGCTCATGCTCATACTGCTATGAACTGTTGCATTAACATAGAGAGAAATGGCTTTTATATCTAACAGCCAAAATACAAGGTTGTTGCATTTGAATTCATGAATGAAGAATCCTTTCAATCCTTTTCCAATCTGAAGAAGAAACAAGAGTTGAAATGACGGCATAGATGTAAAATATCGTTCTCTCTCAAAATCATCTGAAGGAGAGCTAAGAACTAGTTCCCACACTAGATCCTAATCTAGCTTAAGATCTTTACCTTAAAAGGACTGACTCATAATTAAACAAAATTCCACATTGTACATAAGCCACTGGTGCAAAACCCAGGAGCCCCTCCAGAGGTGCTTAAAATTTGAGAGCCAGAAGGCACACAGAGCAAGAAATCAATCTTTGTATCTCTCAGTAACTATGCAAATTTTAAAATATCTAAGAACTTATGTAAACTGACTTAACAGGAAGAGAAAAAAAAAGGAAAAACACAATAAACCTGTAGCAGCTCTGGTGGAAGGAGAATTTGTTACACACAAATCTCTCCCTCTGGATTACAGAGATACACTCATTTTAAGAGACAACATAAAGCTGTTTTGATTTGTTTGTTTGTTTTTTAACGTGAGACAATCACAGCTATTTGGGAATAGCCAATGAGGTGAGAAATACCCCTTTTGTCTTGCTGTACCTGTAAGGTGGCCGCCGTTTCTCCCCTGCATACTGAAAGAGATCATCCGTGAAGAATTTGGGTACTTTGTAGTCCTCCAGGAGTTTCCTGCGCTTGGGGTGCTCCCCGTAACTGCTGTCAAAGATGTACAGGGGGCTGTCATCACGTGTGGTTTCCATGTACTCTATGTAGTACTTCATCTTCATCTTCACAGAGTAACCGTCATTGTCCTCCCCACACTTGAACTTCTGGTTCCTGTACTTGCGTTTCAGCCGCTCCAGCGTCCACTTCTCCTGGGCAGACCAGCCCACCTGGGCGTTCAGCAGCACCACGGGCTTGTAAGGCTTCTCATAGCGCTCGACGAACTCCTCCACCGTCAGCTGGAGCGCATCTGCCCTCTCCACGTTATCCTGGGAGACCAGGGAGGGAAGCAGCACAGATATGAGGACAGGCTGACGTCCTAGGACCGAGCTTCCCAGTGGGGGAGCCTCACACACCGCCAAGGGACGGAGCTGCCTGCGTGTTATTTTAAGCTCCCCGAGGCTGCAGCCCTGCTCCTCCTGGCCCGTTCCCCGCACGCAGCAGTGACACGGGCAGCCCCAAGCCTTTGGCTCTGCTCCCCACCGAGGCCGCGCCGCCCTCTCGGCTGACACATCCCCTGCCGCATTCCACCCCCTGGGGACACCCGGGAGGGCTCCCGGGAATTACACGGGTGCCGGCACCAACCCGGCGGGCTCGCACCGCCCCGCACCCCTCGCCACGTGGAGGGAGGGAAAAACGTGGGTGCTGCTCGTCCTCCCCCTGCCCGCCCCTCTCCCTCCCAGCCGAGAGCCCGCCAGCGCTGGAGCAACCCCGGCCTCGGGAAAGGGCCCTCCCCTTCAGGCATCCCCCATCCCTTCATCACCCCTTCCCCTCTGACCCTCGATCCTCTCAGGCCACCCCAGTCCCCCTCAGGAGGGTCCTTTCCCCTTCCCGTTCCCTCAGGACCTCCCTATCCCCTCAGCACTCCCTCCCTTCCCCTCAGGACCCCCCCAGTCCTACCCCATTCCCCATTCTCCCCCATCCCACTCCCCCCGCTCTCCCTCCCCTCAGACCTTGCAGGCGGCGGGGTTCAGGGGGAAGGTCTCGCAGTAGTTGTGGCGAGTCCAGTCCAGCGAGTCCTTCAGCTCCGGGCGGGCGCTGCGCTTCGCCTCGCGGATCCGCTTCTTGCTCTTGTGGTTCATGACGGCGGCGGTGCTGGGGGCCGTCACCGCCCGCCGTCACCTTCCCCGGATCCCGATCCGGATCCCGGTCCCGGTCCCGGTCCCAGCCCCGCTCCGGCCGCACCTTCCAGAAATTTCACCCGGTGCCGCCGCTGTGGCCGCGGCCCCGCCCCCGCCGCGCCCCCATTGGCTGGTTGTGCCGCGGTTTCCGCCACGCCCCGGCGCTGATTGGCCGGGGCCGGGGAAGCGGCGCCCCCGCGCCGCCATGTTGAGGAAGGGCAGCGCCGAGAGAGCGCGGGCGCCCTTGGCAGCCCCGGGGATTTCCCCCCTGCCGCTCGCCATCCCTCGGCGGTCCCGCGCTCCGTGCTTGCCGCTCTGCTGACAGCAGCGAGCCGGCCGCGCGCCACCCGGCGTCCTCCGCTCTCCCGGCCCGCGGCGGTGCCGGCAGCGCCCCGGCGGGGCGGGCGAGCGGGCGCGGCCCGGTGTGACCGCGGCGCCCGGGACAGGCGCCGCCATCGGCGCCCGCGGCGGCGCTCCGCGTGACGCCACTGCGGCAGGAGGCCCCGATTGGCTGACGAGGCCCGGCGCCCACACGTAGCCGCCCGCCATTGGCTCCATGGCGGAGCCGCGGCGGCGCGCGCGCCGGTTCCGCTTCGAGGAGGGCCCGGCGGCGCTGGCCGTGCGCGTGCCCGAGGTACGGGGACCCCCGGGGCACAGCGGGGATACCGGGACACCAGGGATCCCCGGCACACCGGGGATAGCCGGACATCAGTGACCCCCAGGGCACACCGGGACTCCCGGGGCACAGCGGGGATACCGGGACACCAGGGATCCCCGGCACACCGGGGATAGCCGGACATCAGTGACCCCCAGGGCACACCAGGGACCCCCGGGGCACACCGGGGATCCCCGGCACACCGGCCCAGCACCCCGCCCATGTGTTGCAGGTGCCGGACTCGCAGTACGGGCTGTACGCGTGGCCCAGCGCCGTGGTGCTGGCGCAGTACGTGTGGGCGCAGCGGCGGAGCCTGCCCGGCAGGCGAGTGCTGGAGGTACGGCCCTGCCCGCGCCCCCGACACCCCCGCGGGTGCCCGCGGGCCCGACCCCACGGACGCGCTCTGGTTGCAGATCGGAGCCGGGGTGAGCCTGCCGGGCGTGGTGGCCGCCCGGTGCGGCGCGCAGGTGACGCTGTCGGACAGCGAGGAGCTGCCCCGCTGCCTGCAGAGCTGCCGCCGCAGCTGCCTCACGAACCGCCTGGCACATGTGCCCGTCGTCGGGCTCACCTGGGGCCGCGTGTCGCCGGAGCTGCTCTCTCTTGGTCCTGTAGACATTATTTTAGGCTCAGATGTCTTTTTTGACCCCAAAGGTATGTTAATGCTCTCTCAGGTATCTTTGGTTTGTGACAAGCTGGTGGCCAAGTAGCGCTGGGAGCCCTGTGGAGGGATCAGGTGACACTGTGCTACTGACCTTGTTATTCCAGTTCTGAGCTGTCAGAAATACAACCGAGGGGGAATAGAAAATGGAGTAATAACTGAAGTGCTTCAGGCCCCGTTTCTCAGTTCTCCCATACAGATGTATCTGCTTGTTTGGATTTTTAATTCCCATTTTACAGAACCAGGGAGATTTCTCTATACCTGGAATCCAGAGACTAACCCAGACTGCTTTCTCTCTCCAAACTGCACAGACTTTGAAGATATTTTAACTACAATTTACTTCTTGCTGGAGAAGAATCCACATGCTCAATTCTGGACTACTTATCAAGTCCGAAGGTAAAATCTTTTCCATATTTAGGACTCATACCTTAATTCCTGTCTCAGCTTTTGATGAGTGTTAACTTCTCAGAGGCACCACTGCTCTGACTCAGAAAAGCTCCTTATTGTGCATCAGGCTGCTATTAGCCCAGTAAATCCTGGGGGTATCAGGCAAAAGCAGCCAAACCTGAGAGTAAAGCAAGAAGCCTCAATTTGCTGTTGCCTAGAAAACCCTTACAAACCCATCTGTGCTGTACTGCAGTTTGGTGACAGCCTGTTAGATACTGCAGCAGTTGTAACCTTGGGTTACGTTTTCACACGCTGTCTGTCCTCCCCTCAGTGCTGACTGGTCTATTGAGGCTCTGCTCTGCAAATGGAACCTGAGGAGCACCCACGTTCCCCTGCACTCCTTCGGTGCAGACAAGGAGCACTTGGCCAGCTCGTCTCTCCCAGGAAGGCACACAATCGAAATGATGATCATCTCACTGGCACAGTCAGAGGGCACTTCAGTTTATTCCACTTTAGGTTCCAGTACAAGGTGATACTCAGCTGTTCTGATCTGCAGAAAACAGTCCTGTTTACAGCAAACCTCGTGTATATTTCTGGGGAACAGTTAATTTTTAAAACATGCATTGTAAAAATAAAGCTGTTTGGTTTTTTTCCAGCTATGGCTTATGAGAAATTTTTGCTCCTCCCCAAAGCCCATGAAATAGTTCAGAGACTCAATTCCATCATGTCAAGCCACTACAACAACACAGCTTAACCTGGAAATCCATAAGATCCGACCTAAATCCCCAACTTCAGCAATGGAAAGGTAACTGCACATAAAAACACAGCCCCGTAAGATCAGTTTCCCAGGACTGAGAATTCTTCCCAAAGATCCACGTTTGTACAAAAGCCAGCCCCTTTGTTTGTAAATGAGTGTGTGCAGACTGTGCTAACCTGGAACATACAAACTCCCCAGTTTGTAGAAAAGTACTTTTAATCCTCAACAAAGCCATACTGCCAGTGTTCAGATGTTTCCATTCCCATTTAACATACATGCATAAAATTAACAAGGCATTACAATGACCCTGGACACAGGATGGTTGAAGTTACAATTCATTTGGTACCAAATCAAGAAAAATCATCACTGTAAGATCAGCCCCCATCAAGCAGCAGCCTGGGCAAGCACACAGCAATGCAATTAGTACTGCTCAGTGTGGACCTTCCACAACACCCCAGGACCTGGCTGGGTCAGTGTCCACAGCCTGGTGTGCAACACTTGCCACACAGCATCGGGTTAGTCACAATAATTAAGTTTGCCCACAGTAATTCAAAAGCAACCCCAGTGGATAAAATTTATAAGAAGTAGAATGCATTCAGTTACTATATAGAAGTTAAACATAGACAGTATAATTGCAGAAATCTTTTCAAGCTAAAAATAAGCTGACCCAAGACATTAAGTTGAGAAAAGTTAACACAGAAAAATGTTTAATATTAACTACAGAGACAGTGGGTATAGTACAGAATGTCTTAAGCAAAAAAGATACACCAATCAGTACTTACAAAGGAATGAACCATTTGTTTTTTTAACATTACATTTCTCATATGTAAGTTCATATATGTAGGTTGGTAAGTTTTACCATTCTGGAAATAATAAGGTGTGTATATCATCAGCTAGATGTGCTCACTGTATGCTCCATATTTTTTACGCAAGGCCCGGGTGACTGGAAGTGCAGTTGTCAGGCATTTTAATTAACTGGACAGCCATTTGTTTCTGCACGACAAGGCATCGTTACACAGGAGCAATCAGGAGACAACAGGAAACAGCCAAGCACTCTGCACTGCAACACGCCACCTTAACAGCTAACCAGCATTACTCAACTGCTACACAACTGCGCCTAGTGCACAAAAATACATAAGAGAAGAGATTAGAATTGAGTCTGATAAAACAATCCTTTCAAATATCAACTGTCACCTGAAAAGATTTCTACCAATTTCGAATTTGAAGATACTATCTTAATGCAAAGTTGTTTTTTCTTAAAAAAAAAAAAAAGCATTTACAGTAAGTTTTAAATTGAAGTTCTGTAGAATTTTATTTAAGGAATGAAAACAAAATTGAGAATACTTTCTGACAGTTAGCTACTCGGTATATAATGGCTGCATGATTCCTCAGTATGAAACTGGAGGCAGCAAGTTACCATCAGTTTTAATTTCCAATAGAAGTCAGCACTATATAAACAAAAACGAAGTTTTACCTCAAATATCCAAGCCAATAATGAAATCGGTAGTCGTTCACTTCACTAAATTACAAGAAATTTGAATAACAGCAACAAAATGGCACATAAAAATGTAAAATCTGCCACTTGAGGCGCAACTTAAACAAGTAAAAAGTTAGACAAAATGTTACAAAATAACCTTTTCAACAGCTGGTTGCTCGGCCAGGGTCTCTCCAATGGGCTGAAGACTCAAGCGATCTTTTCCCCCCAAAGGCGTCCTTTATGTGGGTTCTCATTTAGCTGAAGCATCTAGGTTTGAAGAAAAAAAAGTTCAGCCAGGTTTCTACCTTGTCTGTTTTGGGTGTGGATGACTTCAGGGATACTTCTAGTTGTGTTTCAACTGGCTTTGCCTAAGTTAATTAAGTTTTAGGAATTTCCACAGTGTTCCACCTCCCCCCCTTGTGTTGCTTTACTTCAGAGGCCAAATGTAAGGTTCTGTCAGAGTATTTAGTTACAAAGGAGAACAAGCAGCAGGCTGTAGATCAAGCCACCATTAACTTCAATTCAGCCTGTTCAACAATCGATTATTAAAAGTTATATAAAAGTTAACAAAGCTATTACTTCTTCATAAAGACTTAACTAAACCCTAGGTAGCATTCAAAACAGAAAACGTGACTAATTTTGCTACAATTATCTAACTCCAGAGCTAGCTTAGGCCCTTTCCTTTTAAAAAACAGGACCAAACAGTTTGAAGGGTTAAAGACACACTATCCTTTCCCCACCCGGTGTATCCTTAGATGCCTCTTCCAAGATGTCGACTTGAGGAAAAACTAGTTTCCGTGGTTTTCTCATTGCCAAGGAATTTGCCCCTTTTCTAGGACACTTATTACCTCCAGTCAGTACAACGGCCACTGAACCGATCTTCCGTTCTAAAAGGATAGTGTATCTTTAACAGTGTAAGACAAACCTGCTCCAACACACGCCCACAGAAACTGGTCCCTGGAGGATCAGCCAAATCAGTTAAAATCTGCAATACTGGCCAATATTCTTTTAGCAAACAGGAGACCGCAGCTTTAAAGGGGAAAATGCAGATGTTGGATAAATACAGTAAGAAATAGTCATTTTCATCATAGGTTGCGTCTCATACAATATTTTAATAAAACCAAGGCATTAATCTCGCAATAAAACATTTTCTCTGTTAAAAAAAAAAAAATCCGTAGAAAACCCTTCAGTAATAATTTCCCTAAACCAATAACCAAAAAGCACTGCTCAAGAAAAAAAAAAACCAAAACCAACAACTAACAGTGTGCCCCGTTAGGATTCACTTGGTTCAGGCTATTAATGCTCTAAGAACTACCCAACACCCCACCTAAGTGCTCTAATAAAGTAACATGCAACATGTGCTGATCCCGAGGTACATTACCATGTTCCTAAGAGGATACAGCTCCTTCTTCTTCCGGGGACTTGGGAGGGCTCTTTGACCTGGATCTAGAGTTGGATTCCCTCTTTGAAGCAGGGGGAGGGCTTCTAGATCTGGACCGGGATCTTGACCTGGACCGGGATCTGGAGACAGACGAGGACTTTGACTTGGATCTCCTGGCAGACCTGGACTTGGAGGTGGAGCGAGACCGAGAGCGTGTGCGAGACCGGGATTTGGATCGGCTGTAGCGGGACCGACTGCGGGATCTAGAGCGGCTCCTGCTCCTAGATCGGCTGCGACGGCGTCTTCTAGGGCTAAAACAGACCAAGAAGGGGAAGGAAAAAAAAAAAAAAAAAGTCACGTTAAAGTTGCTCACGGGCGGCGCAGATTGAAGCGAGTGCTGCGGGACAGGGAGGGCGGGACAGGACGCACGTGGGCAAGAAAATGAGCGTTACGAGGGCGCCATTGTTCAGAGCGAGTGGCCGGGGGCTAAATCTACTACAGGGCAAAAACCTTTCACTCCGAGGGGACCACACGCGCCTTCGCTACTAAAACCCTACTCCCCCCGCCCAACCCCGCCGCGAAACTCACCGGGAAAAGGACACAGAATCACAGAACCGGTGAGGCTGGCAGGGACCACAGCGGGTCATCTGGTCTTCACTCCCCGCTTAAGCAGGGTCATCCCGGAGCACACCATTATGTCACGCACTCAGCTGCCCGAGCATCCCCAATGTGGGAGACTCCACCACCTCTCTAAGCAACCAACACACAACCACGCGGCCCCCGCTACGCCCGCCGATCCGCTGCCGTAAGTTCGGTGCTCACCTGCGGCTGCGGCGGCCGTAGCCGCTGCTGCTGTACCGGCGGGGCGGCGGCCCGCGGCGGCTGTGGTGCGAGTCGGGCGGGCGGCCGTAGCGGGCCATCTGCACGCGGAGCTCCCGCCCGTCCAGCACCGCCCCGTCCATCGCGTCCATCGCGTCCTCCGCGTCCCGCTTGTCGTGGAAGCGCACGAAGGCGAAGCCGCGGCTCTCCTTGGTGTAGCGGTCCCGCGGGATGTAGACGTCGCCCACCCGGCCGTACTTCTCGAAGACCCTCCGCAGGGTGTCCGGCGAGGTGCGGTAGGTCAGGTTGTCCACCTTGAGGGACGTCATGCCCTCCACGTCGGGCGGCGGGCGGCCGTAACTCATGGCGGGCTGGAGCCCCTGAGGGGCGGCGGCGGCCGGCGAGAATAAACCTGAGGGCGATGAGGGGGGTCAGCAGCCGGCGCGGCCCTGAGGGCGACGCGCCTCACGCCGCGGGGCGAGCGCCGAGGCGGCGGCGCGGCAGAGCCCAGAAACGAGGAGAAGCGCAGCGCATAGGGGAAAAGCCGCGGGGCCCGCAGGGTGCAGCACCCACCTCAGGGTCCGAGGGGCGGCCCGAGGCCGGAGCGAAGTGCCAGGAGCGGCCGCCCCGTCCCGTCCGGTCCGGTCCCGCCGCGGCGAGGAAATGAGGGGGAACCGCCCGCGCGCGCGGCTTAACGCCACAAAATGGCCGGCGGGGCCCCGGAAGGGAAACGCGGAGCCTCCTCCCGCCCACGGCGCCTCCGCCCCGACCCCCGCGCCCTTTTTCCGTCTTTTCCCCGGGATGGTCCCGCTGGGAGCGCGGGGAACCCGCCCCTAAATTAATAATTCGCCCCTGCGTTGGAAAGCGGCCGTTAAAACGGCGCCGCCGTGACCCGGAAGAGCTCGGGGGGAGGCGGGGAATTTTTATTTTTTTTTGAACAATGTGTGTTGAAAACCGCAAGGAAAACAATAATAAAAATAAAAGGAAATAATAGCGGGGCTGTGCGTGTGTGTGTGTGTGGTGAGGGAGGAGAAGGGTGGGAAATCGCCGCAGCAGGGAAAAAAAAAAAAAGCGATGGTGAAGGGAGTCGGTTGTGGCGCGGGCGGGAGGGGACGGTTTAAAATGGCGGACGGGGGGAGCTGTGGGTGCAGAGTTGTGAGGGGCGGGTTCGGGTCGGGGCTCGGCTCCATGAGGGGAGCCGGGTCAGGGCGCTTGTCCCGGGCTCTGTGAGGGCCGTTCTACCGGGATAACTGCTCTGCGAGCTCCGTGCCCTTCCTGCTCCCGCTCCGGTGGCCGCCGTGAGGGACCAGGCGGGCCGCTGCGGGCTCTTCTTCACCTCCTGCCGGCAGCGGTGCCCGGTGAAGCCTCCTCGGTCCCTCCAGCTCTGGATGTGCCTCGGTGGATACGCAGCTTATCGGTGCCTGTGGGAGCCGAGCGAGGAAACATTAAAATCCTCCTTACACCAGCCTGCTCTGCAAACTCGTGCTGTTGGCAGCGTGTGGTGGAAACTGGAGCAGAGGAGGAGACTTGCACACTCCTTGTGTAAGGATAACAAGCAGGTTCCCAGCCTTTTGCCCAGGGAATTCTGTGAAAGCTCTTCCCCTGCCTCAAAAGTTCTTGCTGTGTCACTTCAGGCACCAAATAAAATGCCCGAACCCCATGTATGAACTGTAATACCTACTTCTCATCACACAACAGTGTTAAAAGTTTCTAGCCGTCTGCTTCATGATACTGTGTTAAAAAAAGAATAAAGAAATAAGACGGGTTTCTGCTGATTTGTTCAGTCACAGTATCGATGTGAGAAAGCAATTTCAGTATTAGGATTTAAAGTCTTAGTCTTACTGTAACTGTGTTTAATCTTTTTTTTTTTTTTTTTGCACAGAAGAAGTATAAAAGTAAGCAGTGACATTGATACAGAACCAGAAGCAACTGTTTGTTTCCTGCTAAAATGACTTAAGAAATCAAATAAACTAGTTCTAGTTTCACATTTTGTATTGCTTCATGCTTGTCCCTTTTTTTCCCCCAGAGACCTCTGATTAAAAACTTTGTGATTCATCTGCCAAAACCCTTTTTCAAATGAGAAATTTCAAGGTTACCTTTACAGTAATTTCCCTAAAACGACAGCGTGAGTTTCCTGTGTCCCTTTCTCCCAGTTCTTGTCCCCCCTTGGGCACTGCTGACCCAGGGACAGCTCCTTGTCCACCAGGACCCCCCACTCCATCCCCACAGAGCTGCTTTTCCAGCCGGTCAGTCCCAGCCTGTGCTGGAGTCTGGGGTTATTCCTTCCCAGAGGCAGGACCTGAACTTCAGACAGTTCTTCTCTGCCCACCTCTCCCACCTGTCAAGGTGTCACCTTTCAAATTTTTAAGTTTAAAACTCTCCCATTGAACCCTTTTCCCCTTTGAGCCCCCTGTTTGTTTAAACTTTTTACTGCAGGACAGCAGAGGTAAAAGGTGGTGATTTGTCATTTACTTCAATCGATTCTGCATTTCCCCCCTGTCTTTTTGGTCAGCACTAAAGTGTAGCTGATTTAGCTGAATGCTCCAATCCTGACCTGGGGGCCCAACAGAATGGACAGGAGATGTTAAGAGGAAAAAGCAGCCATTCAGTTGGGCTGATCCTCTGTCGGTTCAGCTGATGTGCTAACAGAGATCATCTCAACCTAAAGATCAATTGATCTTAAACTTGTTGTTTAGGAATCCTGTGAAGTAAAAGATCAAGGGTATCACTTCCATCCCTGGAATTGTTCAAGGCCAGGTTGGACAGAGCTTGGAGCAACCTGGGATAGGGGAGTGAAACAAGATGGGCTTTAAGGTCCCTTCCAGACAAAACCAGTCTGTGATTCCATGATTCTATAATTCTATGTAATTGCTAAACCCAAAAGCTTTTCTTTGAGACAAAGCAGGGAAAGATTATGAAGACTCTCTCCTCTCCTGAGTCACTGAGACAAGGAAAGGCAGAAGCAACAGCAGCGAGTGTGTGTGCTGGTGGCTCTGAGGTACACAGTTTCTCCAGGATGGGATTCATTTGCCCTTTGGAAATGACTTTATGTGTTTGAGTTCAGCCAATTAAAGTTTTCTTAGATAAATCTCCCCCCCCCTTTTTTTTTAATCTTCCCAGATCTTATTTAGTGGATTAAGATCATAATTTTTAAAAAATGTAGTACAAATCTTTTTATTTTAAGGACTGGGAGATTTTCACTATTTTAAGTAGGAAAAAAAAAAGTGCTTTCATAAAACTGCATTTCCCATAGTGCACAAGGGCTCTCAGTGTCAGCTGATCGAGAGGGTGAAATGTGCTTTATTTCCTGTTCAGTGCATGGAAATGACTCGTGTGTGCGAGTGGCTCATCTTTCCTTCGTCAGGTGATTGAAGGGCCGTGGACCAGATTCCGATTTCAACAATGGCAAGGAGCTGAGCTGCTCGATATTGGGAAAACTGCTTCGCGTGTGGGAAGATGATGTCATGAAATAACACCCTGCAGGCAGCTCTGTTAACTTGATGGGAACAGGTAGAGGGAATCTTGGTCTTTACCTTTCGTACTAGACCTTTCTATTTTTTTTTTTTCCAAGTTACCAATTTTGCCGTACATTATTTAAGTTACTAGATTTCTTAATTAACTGAGGGTTATTTTCTAGCAGCTAAGAAGTAGCCCTAAGTAATCATAATTTTCAAAGCTTTTTTTTTTTATTCTTTTTGCCTTTTTTTTTTTTTTTTTAAAACAGAGGTTAAGAGGAAACTTTTGAAAGAAAAAAAAGAGTTTCCAGACTTAAGCTGAGGACTTGGAGAAGAAACACAAAATGTCTTCTGAAGGAAAAAAACTTTTCAACATCATTATTTTGGGAGTCTCGTTTATGTTTATATTCACTGCTTTCCAGACATGTGGAAATATTGCGGTAGGTGTGAATTTCTAAATGTGCCACATTTCTATTACAGTTATTTATCCTGTGTTGTCTTTTGTCTACTGTAATGTTGTTTAACTTGCGATTTTCTAATGTGCAAGATACTGTGGCATTTTGTCTTCCTTTGGTTTAGTGTTAAGTAGATTAACTTGGTTAACTAAATAATTAGGCAGATTTTTTCTTTAAGATAGCATAGCTACACACACATATAACTGTGCCAGAGTGCTTAGAAAACAGAAAATTAATCTTATCAAATGTTTGAACTTTAAAATAGTGTCTCCTTTGACACTTGCAATATTAAACAATTGAATTACATTGAACCTTCCAAAGTCTATATTCCATATTCTGTATAGTCCCTTTCAAAATATTTACCTTAGTTTTTATTAACCACACAATTATCAACTGTTTTTTCCTAATCTAACATATTTTTCTGTTCTAACAAATTTGATACTGAGAGAGGGTGTGAGGATAACACCTGACAAATAGTCAGACTTGCACAATTGCTAAACTGCCAAGACACCTTGCAGCTGAAGAAGTTATTTACTGCTTTAGTATCGTGTATCTCTTTGTCTGCAGAAGCAAAATTGAGCATAACATAATCCAAATTTACTGTTACTATGTAAATTTTTAGACTCCTGCTACCAACAGACAGGCCCTTTAACTTCCTGAGTGTTGACACTGCTTTCAGTATTAGTTCTGTGCCTGAAGGCAGTCAGATTTCAACATCCTCAGGTCTTACAGCTCTGTCCTTGCATGGAAGGAGAATCCTTTCTGGGTTCAGACACATAAATGTCCTTCAATACAATATAAATAACTACTTGGGATAGTTTTGGTAAGTCACAGAGCAGTGTGATAGTGTCTGTGAGCACGTAAGTACAGCCCAGTGATCTTAGAAAGTTCTGTGATGAATGCAGCACCTCACTGAACTGGACTTTGTGATCATGCAATCATGTAGTTTATTGTCATAAAAGTCTTTACAGGTTGCTTTCAACCAGATCTGCCTGCCAGTCCAACTAATGACATGGTCTCATGATCACTAAAGCTGATTCAAGGGGAAAAAAAAAAGGAACAGGGAAATAACATGAAGCCAGAAAGAATGGAAACTCTTACCAGAAATTCACAGTTAGGTCAAGTTAAGAGTATTTTGAAACTTCTCCTTCCCCCCCCACCCCTTATTAAATTAAGATAGTCATACATATCTACCTAAGAGAGATCTTTAGTGAAACAAAAGGTCTGTAAAGTATTTTAAGGTCTCTGGTGAAATAACAATTTAATAGTAAAGTACTAATTACTGCTTCACACACAGAGGTTTCCCTGCCAAATATCTCCTGCATCTTTGTTGTGGAGGTGATGTGAGTTTTAGCTAATATTTTAAATTCTTTTAAGTACTTTGTAGAGTCTATTAATGATTAATTCTGACGTTTGTTACTGACTTCAAACTGATGCAAGTGTTTTCAAAGTATAACATAGATTCTGACATATTACAATGTATGGTTTTCTCCTCACAGCAAACAGTTATCACAAATTTAAACAACACCGACTTCCATGGCAGTGGCTACACAAGGTAATTTACAGAGATTGTAAATTATAACTTATTACTTTGCTCCTTGCAGGGTGATGCTGGTTACAGTTTCATCCAGTAGAGATATACTCTTGAGAGATTGGAGTGTTCTGCTGACTTCACAATTTATTGACATACTTAAAGCACTTTAAATAAAATAGGCTTCTCACAGCCCCGCTCTGAGTTATTTCTAGTTGAACTACAGATCTGCTTTGCATGTTTTCCTAGTAGGGAGAAAAACCACCCTCATCACATTCTCAGCATTTTATCTTAGGAGATG